AACATGTCGAGTTCCATTACCAGAGATGATTTTTCAGCCTTAGCCTGTGGAGTTTCACTTATTTTCTTTAATTTTGTTCCCTGGTTTCCCAATGTACATGGGAATTGCTATAGAAAAAACTGTCCGACAAAGAGAAAGAAGACTGTTCCAATTGCAGAATTTCACACTCAATTATGGCAATTTCATTTTCCAGTTTTGCTGAAGATTGTAGTTACATCCAAGTAACTAAACTAGATTAGCTAAAGTGGGATAAATCAAAATGGAATAAAAGCAATTGTAGTAAAGGTTGGATAGACACTCAGAAAAATCAATTGTTGAGTTCTTTGAAATCTCATGAGTAAAGGTTGGATAGACACTCAGAAAAATCAATTGAAATTGCTTTCCAGTCAAAGCTCAATGTAAACTCAAAAGCGCTGAAAAGAAACCATCAACTTAATAATTTAAGATCAAGGGGCCTTTTTTAAGTGAAGGAAGACAAGGATGACGTTTCAGAGGATTAAGAGGAAGAAGCAACTTTGATCGAAGAACAAATGGAGAAGGTTCTTCACAGAAGTGCAATATCTGCAGCAAAATTGGCGATCATGGAAAAATATTGTTGGGTCAAAGGGAAGCCTCAATGTTACCGTAGTAAAAGATTTGGTCGTCTGCAGAAAGATTGTAGATTGAAGAATAACAAACAATCACCTTTCAAAAAAAAAGAATAACCAACAATGAAATTTCACCAAGGATAAAGAAGATGAAGGGAAAGCTGAAAGAAATCTGTTTTTTGCAGGCTAACATGTCTCAGAAAAGAAGAATGAGATCTGGTTCCTAGATAGTGGGTGTAGTAATCACATGACGTTGGAGAAAGATATTTTCCTAAACATTGATACCACTTTTAATTCCAAAGTGAAGGTCGGCGATGGTGCTACGGTAAAAGTGAAAGGGAAAGGGAAAGGCAGTATTGTTGTTGATACAAAGAAAGGAAAAAAGGTGATTGGCGATGTTATCTTCGTCCCCGTGATGGATCAAAGCTTACTAAGCGTTGGAAAACTTTTGGAGCACCGTTATATTCTTCAGTTTGAAGGTGAAGGTTGTAAAATATATGACCAAGGAAGAGAAAATATTGTTGTGGCTAAAGTAGAAAATAGATCTTATAGAATTTTTTCAGTTACTTTCAAGTATTCAAGGGATGTTAGCTTAAAAGCTATGGTGATTGATGAATCATTGTCGTGGCACAAAAGATTAGGCACTTGAATTTTGAAAGCCTCAAGTTGTTGCACAAGAAAAATATGGTGCAAGGACTTCCTAGCATTGATGAGTAAAACAAAGTTTGTTAAGGTTGTGCTCTTGGGAAGCAACATAGACAATCATTTTCTAAAGGAGTGACCTGGAGAGCAAAAGAAAGTCTTGGAGTTGGTGCGCACTGATGTTTGTGTCCCTATGCATACTCCATCTCATTCCAAAAACAGGTACTTCGCTCTCTTTATTGATGATTACAGCCATATGACTTGGGTTTATTTTTTGAGACAAAAGTATGAAGTTTTTGAAGTTTACAAAAAGTTTAAATGCCTTGTTTAGAAGCAAAGTGGTATTCAATTAAAATTTTGAGAAGTGACAGAGGAAAAAGTAATCTTCTAATCAATTTAAAAAATACTGTGAAGATGAAGGCTTGGAGAGACAGCTCATAGTTGGTTACGCTCAACAGCAAAATGGAGCATCTAAAAGGAAATATCAAATAGTAATGGAGATGGCAAAGTCAATGTTACATGATGGACTACTAAAAAGTTTCTGGGCAGAAGCTGTATATACTACAGGTGTCCTATTAAGGCTATGTGGAACCAAATACTTTCTGAAGCTTGGAGTGGGAGAAATCCATCAATTAAACATCTTAGAGTATTTGATTGTATTTTCTATGCTCAACTACCAAAGGAGAAAAGATACAAGTTGAATGAGGCTAGTGAAAAGTGGATATTTGTTCACTACAGTACTATGTCAAAAGGCTATGAATTGTGCGTTTGAAAACCAACAAGATTGTTATTAGCCGAGATGTGATATTCGAAGAAAAGGCTAAATAGAATTGGGAGCAACGTAAAGAGGACAAGCAATTTGTTCCAATCACTATTTCACAGCAAAATATAGCTCAATAAAATCGTAGTAATTTGGGAAACTTTTCTCCACAAACACTACCATCTCCAAATTCAAGTTCAACACCATCATCTTCAAGTTCGAGTTAATCATCTCCAAGTTCAACTCCAGTAAGATAGAGAAATTTGAATGACATTTATGAAAGATGCAATTTATGCATTGTTGAGCCAGAGATTTTTGAAGCAGCAGTAAAGGAAGAGGCTTGGAAGAAAGCTATGGAAGAAGAAATTGATGTAATAGAAAAGAACAACACATGATAAATTGTTTATAGGCCCACAGACAATGAAGTAATTGGTGTAAAGTGGATTTACAAGGTAAAATACAACTTAGATGGTTCTGCCCAAAGAAACAAAGCAAGGTTGGTTGCAAAAGATTATTTAATACAGCCTGGTATTGACAATC